TGAATGGACACTTCCTTGTATCTGAGGCAGGAAACATAGCCTTATATGGTGGAATTTACGCAGCTCATTTACACACTTTTCCTGAAGATAGAAGAGTTTGTTGAATCTGACGTGGCATGTTCGTACGAACCCTTCGTATGAACAAAAGTAAGAGAAATTTAGGATAAGAATATGAACATGTTCTTGCATGAGGCCCAATGAGTGGAAAAGACAAAAGGGTCAAAACAATTAGAACATTTTAGGCTCAGAAATGAATGTCCTGCCACACAACTGAAAAACCTCACATGAACCTGTTATCTCATCTAAAGATGTCAGACTAAACCTCCACTGCAGGCCTTGGGCAGCCCTCTTACCCAACAAACGTCTGTCAAAGCATAGTAATGCTTTAGTAAACAATGAAACATCAATTTTTTTTTCTCTTTTGTAGCTGGCCTCAGGCAGCCTTAACTGCAGGGGTAGGATGAAAAGAAGTAGTCGGGCCGTTTGGGCGACTCGGAGCAGGATATCTTTACACTGTTTGGACTGTGAGGTAGATACCTGGCATGCTCCCATACAGGATTTCTCTACAATAACGGGACCCATGTGTTCAGTCATTTGTACGCTTAGCCCCGAGGGCCCAACTTAGAACACAAAAACAAGGAGTCCGCCCAGGATATGCAAACACGAAGCATCCTTTCCCCCACGTCAAATATACGCACAAGTGTGAGGACAGACTGTAAATACTGTATACACTGTTTAGTTATTGTCTGTCACCTACAGTCAAAGGGCAATCATGTTTTTATCTGCGTCTGTGTGTATATATTTGTCTGTACCGTTAAATTCTCTCCTGAATCACTGGATAAACTTTAATGATAACAATCCTAGGATGTAAACCTACAAATCAACTTTTCAGGTCAGCCTCGCCACAGCCAAGCAAACTTAGTAAACACAAATATGGTTATAACCCACAATATTTTACCGCTATTGAGTGAAAATTGAGTTACTAGCTGAAAGTCATCCCCAACACACACTCTGAGCTAGAGTCACCAGCAGCTCGGAGTCCAATACCAGCCTTTTATAAGTACTCGATCAAAATGCTGTACCGATACTGGTATTGATACCAGATTCAATATTCAGTGTTTGAGCATTCTGAATAAAAGAAATGCGTTTTTAAAGACATTGTGTAATATTTTTGGTTTAACTCAGTAAGTACTTGGTATCGGCGAGTACCCAAACTGAAGTACTCGTAATTGGTTTGACAAAAACTGGAATGAGGACACCCCTATGAGGACACTCATTGGATGTACTACTTCAAATATATAATTTTTGAGGTTGGTTCAAGATGGCCACCCCATCTAACTGGCATTAGTCAACACAAAGCTTGCTGTAACTCTGCTGGATTTAAAATTTAGTGTGGTAGTAGCTGAGAGGGATTCCCAACACATACTCTGAGCGCTACACATTGCATGAGACTGTTGCTTAAACTTTGGCACAAGCTTAGTATCTACACTGTCTTTTAGCAAAATATCTCATGAACCACAGGACAGATGTGGGTAAAACTATCAGAAAGAAACCATTAATGTTACCATTTGGAATCAGCCCAATTCAAGATGGTTACCACAACTAATCAGCCTTCGCCAACACAAAAACAATTGCTGTAACTCAGTCAAATTTACAGATATTGAGCTAAGATTTAGTGTGTTAGTAGCCGAGAGTCATAAAAATACATACTCAAAGCACTAAAACATTTGTCAGGATTTCACAATATCACATGAAAATGTACATATTAGTAATTGCAAAATTGACAAAAACCGCTAAGGATCATTTAAGTACTAGTAGTGTACCAATAAATCAGCTGGATGATTTATCTGACTCGATTTCCTTAATTTTGGGAGAATGGCGATCACCTGATCACTTACATGAGAAGCTAATCTTATCCACTGATCTTTTCTACCTCCACAAATTTCTGAAAATCAGCCACTGTTTCCTTTTCTGCAGTGATTTCTGCAGTGAGAGCTATCTAATGTCCAGTTAAAACAGGTTTGTAATGTTTTAAGGCTGTTCAATGTTTTTCAGTAAAATAAGATTGGAACATTGAAGGTGTATTGTGATCTTATAGCACCTGAAAGTGTCAGTTATAAAAAAAAAATCTTGTATCAGCGGTTCAGGATTTTTAAAGATCAGTGATCAGCCAGAAAACTGCAATTTAATTTAACTGCACCTTAATTTAGAGGTGGCAGGTGATATTCATTCCTTTAAGGAACGAAAGGCTTATACATTTATTAATCATTATCCCTTAAATTTAATATTTTTCAAAAAGTTTGTTATAAAAATGAATTTTTGTAGATATACAGTATATAGTGAGTCCTAGAAAAGCAGCAGCATTTGTCTTATGAGCGTCCCTACCACTGGAGGCCGCTAAAGAGTATAAAAAAGAATTATGTTCTTTTCATCTTGTGAGAGGAACCATGGGGGCAGAAACATCTGATCTGAGTCAATACTTGTGCCCAATATATTTACATAGTAGTTATGTCAAATTAGTACAGTAGCAAAGTATTTCAGGTCAAAATAGTGTGGGTGAAGATTTAATTTTTTTTTTTATCTTGAGTCAAAATCATCTATGAAAGTGAAATGAATGTGTTTATTCAACTAAAATATATTTAAATGTTTTCTATGAAGACATGTTTTGTTGCAAAAATAAATACAGGTGACTCTGACC